TGTTTGTTTTAAGATTACTATCTATAGATTACAATAACTTTATTTGTGTTTCAGGTATATGAATTATGGAGGTATTGGGGCCCACTATCGGTCATGATAATCGCACATGGATTTGACAATATAGGTAAAATTGCTTGGTTATTACAAATGTACAATTTTCTTTCTTGATATCAATAGAATTGTCCCACATAATTATTTTTCCTTTAGTATCGTATGCAATTCACCATATTCTAAAACATAGTGAGTCCGTAAACAATTATGTTCCGAGAATGATAGGGGCTGTTAGGTCATTGATTTTTCAAACCACTTGTACATAGAAAGATATCTCAGTTATCTTACAGAAGTATTGGGCCTTTGTCCATAAATGGCCTATGTACGGAGGGACATTTACAGACCTTTACGATATAAATGCGACGTAATTCCACCCCTTTCACACATACTCACGCATGAACAAAAAGGATCAGTATAGGATCAAATAAAACAAAATAAAAATATGACACTTTCAAAAGTAAGAATCATAGATAAGAAAGTATTTAAACAATACTGAAAATAGGTTTGGAAGCGTTACTGAGTTTCGTGCTTCTATATGGAATATTTAAGTCACATTTAAGGTTACGTTTTCTTAGTGTTATTTTGAAAATGATAAATTAAGTAAGTCTAAAATCATAAATTAAATCTGACGGAAACAGCAACTTATGATATCAAGGTGGTTTCATATACTGCCCCGTATTGTTCTTAAAGGCAAACATATGTATGAACAAGTTAGCGACTTAATAATATGACTACTTGTCTGGTACAAGTTGTCGTATGATAACATGTTTTGTTATTTTATAGGATTACGATTTGATAAAGATGGTGCAAATCAGAGGTTGTGGTCAAAAGAAGACATGAATAAATTTAGCAAAAGAGCTCAGTGTTTCGTAGATACGATAAGCAACATCACCGTACCTGGGACTGGTGGAATTAAGGTACTGTGAACGCGCACGAACACACACATGCATTTTTTTTATTTTTGTTTTAAAGAGTCTTTTTTGCATAATGAGACCTCCGGCGCTTATACATAAGTTACACCATTGAAATTTACAAAAAGACGTGAAGTATGATATTAAAGAACAACAATGTCAATTTTTAGTTCATTATCATGCATTATTAGCATGTTACACATTGGCATATTTAAAAAGATGAATGAAAGAGGTAAATATACATTCCTATGAAATATTGGGTTTTAATGTTATAACATAATAAATGAACACAAATCTATCAGTATTTATCGTATAATCAGTTATGATCGTTGTCGTCATCAGTTGATAAACCATAGCGGGCGGGTTCCAAAAATGATACTTATAATAATACTTAACACACATATCTCACAATTCTTGATACACACAATGCATATTTTCATCAGACAGAATAATATATTAAAGCATAAAGTCACAGCATCGATTTCTACTTAGTTATATATGATACAAAAAATCACATGGTACATTTTTCTCATTTATCATTGAATAATTGGGTCGGAGAAAAGTCATACCAGCAATATGACTAAATAATGTATAATTATGTTTAATAAGAATTTGCATTTCTCAATACAGTGTTAGAAATATATGTTCGTACCATTTTCAATTCGCATGTAGTAATAACGATGAAACAACTTGACAAACTCAATTATAACTCAAATAATCAAACAACATGTACTTTTGTTTTAAAGGAGTCTTTATAATGTTGAATATCGGTATACTTATGTCTGTCCTGTTCAACAGAAACTATGGATCTTTGTCAAAGTCTTGTTTGTCTACATTTGTCCTTGAAATATCAAATTAATCACAGGCCACAGAAAATTAAACAAAGTTAAACAAAAAGTCAGCATATACGTACAGTTTAATCTTTCATATTTTAAAACCTTTAAACAATGGAATATAAAACCAATACCTATGTTGATGACTGCGTAAACGTGAGCTTAAGATTCAGATATTGTACTGAATTCTTTAACATAAATAGTAATGGATGAAATATATGAAATGACATACCTCTATGATGTGTTTGATAATTTAAACTTTATTTATTTTGAATCGGAATAATTACATATTAATCCTATAAAATTATAATCTGTAAATTCACGTTTGGAAAACATTGATTTTTTAAACATATTACACATGTATTGGTTGTAACAAATTTTGTCCATAAACTCAGTGTTGTGGCACAAGGGTGCTTTAACACGTCATTTAATTCAACGCATTTACACTTTAGATAATTAAATCGTGTGTGGTAAAGAAAAAAATAAAAAAAAATAATAATTTCGATGTCCAGAAATAATTCAGTTATTACATTATCATTTCTATTATTATTTTCATTGGAACTGAAAGATGAAACCTATAAGTTCAAAAGCGCTTGCCAGCCATGCAAATGATGTTTTTTATACTGATACTGGCATTTTAGAAAAGAAATGCAACATAATTTTAGAGAACGAATAGAACTGTCTATTTTGTAAACAAATTCTAAATGTTACATAATGTTATGTTTTACAGTCATTTTGATTTGTAGATAAAAGTAGATATCCATTTAAGCTGCTTGGTCATCGCTTCAATTGGTCTGTCTGTCCGTCCGTCAGTAGACCATATGGTTTCAACTGATTATCTTTAAAACTATTTATCACAAAGTCTTCATATTTCACATACCGTTTCAACAAAACTAGTCAATGAACTCTATTGATTTTGGAATCCCAATTCAATAAAAATGTATTTCATATCTAACATTTGTCATATCTTTAAATGGACAAATGTACCAATACAATTATGTTTTTTTTACCTGCACAGACTAATGGAGATAGGACCTTAGCTGAAACGCTTGCCGACCACGAAGGACTCAAAGCTAGTTATATGGTGCTATATGAACACTTTTTTACTTTTAAATTAAGTTGCAGGAGAAGCAACATTTTAGATCAATGTGAATAAGATTGAAGTACCATGTTTCCTGCCAAACAATCGTTGTAGAAAGTCTTTATATATGATTGTAATGCTTTGCTCACTTATCTATTATAATTGAAGGTTATAACCAAAGACTGAGCTTAAATAAAATTAGTTTTATTCAATATCAAAAGTTTATGTATGCAACTAAAAATATGTAGAAAATAGTAAGAAAGACAATGTATCTTCTTTAAAAAAAAAAAAAAAAAAAAAACAAAAAAAAAAACAAAAAAAAAAAAACAAACACAACGTAATCTTAATAACAAAGGAAACAATAGCAAAAATTTTCTAAAAAATCACCAACATAATTATAGATTATTATTATAAAATTCATAATTATAATAATGAAATAATAATAATAATAATAGCCCAATCATAAAAATACTACAATCATTATTCAACAATAACTGATTCTAGGCTTATGTGCAGTGGCTGAAGACGCATAGGGTAGACAAAGATGAGAAAAGATTACCAGGACTTCAATATACGCCAAAGCAATTATTTTTCCTAAATAATGCTATTGTAAGTATTTTTCTTTTACCTTTTAGAAAAGGAAGAACATTGAGATCATACGAAAGGACAATTTCGCTCGTTCTGATATTGTTAGTAATACAATGTGATTCATGTATTGAATACAAGTATTTATGTAATTCTGTAGGTGAGGTCAGCTAGTTCATGCACTCATTTTGTAGTTGTAGTTATGTTCCAGGGTACTGTTATCAGTAAAGGGGTATCAAAGTAGTGTAAACCCTTTTCCGAATATATATAAATAGCCTTTTATTTGAAATATAAATTCTGAGTTTCTTTTTTTCAAGGACTTTTGCAGCAAACTCAGAAGAAAAGAAAGAGTATCACTTGCCAGATATTCAAATTATCCTGTGAATAGTATAAGGTAATAAAACCAGTCAGTGACTTTGAAACCAAGTTAGCCTTATCAACATAATTTTTAATAAACCTTATACGTTGTCGGTTTTTAAAAGTACGACCATCATTGATTTACGCAATAACAATTGCCATTGAAATATGTCCCTACCCACAGACACGAATCCTTGTGCCGCAATTTCGTCTACCAAGGATTTTTAACACGCATTTGTTCGTTTCCTAATAGATATTTCATGAACAGAAAGGGCTTGATACTTGGGGTCGGTCTCATTTGAAATAGTGATAACAGTTTTTTTAATTGTCTGGACAATTGTTTTCACAACGGCCCGGAAAATGAATCCCTTGCTAGTAGGCACGAATCAGGAGTTTTCGGCCTTCTCTTAACTTAAAGTATATTTTAAAGGGGGTTATAATTTTCAATTTTTATGCCCCCACAAAGTGGGAGCATATAGCGTTGCACTTGTTCGTCCGTCCGTCTGTACGTCTGTCCGTACAAACCAGGGCTACATTATGGGGTTTGGTCTATTGTTCTCATAACAATAGATGTCTTTGATGTCATTCATTCCGTTTCTCTTGTGGGGTTATTTTTTGCATTGTTGGGTTAAAAAGAACAAAAGAAATAACAAAAGAAAACCCCATCATGTAGCTCTGGTAAGAACGTCCGTCCGTCCATCCGTCCGTTCGTCTGTCCGTACGTCTCAAAATCTTGTGAACGCAACTCCTCTTAAACCGAAAGGCAGATTTTACTTAAACTTCCAGGGATGAACAACCTTAATGTGTAAATGGTAGTAAAGGAAATAATTTTCGCTGCGACCAAATTTAACAGAATTGTGGCCCTTTGTTGATTTTTTCTCTATATACTATGTAGAAATGTTGTGAACGCAACTCCTCTTATACCGCATGGCAGATTTTGCCTAAACTTCCAGGGATGAACAACCTTAATGTGTAAATGGTAGTTAAGGAAGGAATTTTTGCTGGGACCAAATTTAAGAGAATTATGGCCCTTTGTTGATTTTTTCAATATATACGATTTAGAAACGTTGTGAACGCAACTCCTCATTAACCGGATGACAGATTTTGCTTAAACTTCCAGGGATTAACAACTTTAATGTATAGAGGGCAGTAAAGGAAGTAATTGTTGCTGCAACCACATTTAACAGAATTATGGCTCTTTGTTGATTTTTTCACTAAAACCAAATAGAAATTTTGTGAACGCAACTCCTCTTAAAAGGGATGGCAGAGTTTGCTTAAACTTCTAGGGATGGACAACCTTAATGTGTAGATGGAAGTAAAGGAATGACGTTTTGCTGGGATCAAATTTAAGAGAACTATGGCCCTTTGTTGATTCTTTCACTATATACCATAATATATGTTGTCAGTAGGGGCATCCGTGTCCTTTGGACACAGTTCTAGTTGTTGGTTTTGTTTTTGGTTTTTGACATTTTTAAGATGAACACGTGTTTTTTTATCAATCTGGTCATATATTCTTTCTTCCCAGGTCCGATACTCGTGCCTGTGTTCCTACCCTAAATATGTCTTTAAAATGATTGGTGATATATGTAGAAAACTGTTCGATCTTTTGTTCATAGTCTCTCAGGCTCATCGTAATGAAGACTGCTTAAGCCGATGCTAAGTTTAAAAAATATTGCACTTAATAAGCTAGACTTATACGAGGCTGAACATTTTAAGGTAGAAAAAACTATGTATCTGTTATCTTACACAATGAAATGCAGATATTTATAACATGATATTAATACGTAAGCAGATTTTCGCACATGCGCATTTCACTCTAACAAAACGTAACGAAACAGATTTTTCGATTTTTAATTCAAACTGAAATCAGCATAATATAAAAAGTTTTGCTCACCAAGCAAAAAGCCAAAGACTTGCTAGTTTCATATGAAATGTTAAAACAAAAATAAGTAAAGTAAATAAAAGAAAATCCATGCACCCAATTAAAGGCACATTATGCCTTAGAAAAATTTCAATCCCTAATGTAGAAAGGCGATATAAAGGTTAAAGAGGATGTTAAATGCCAATTTTTGAAGAAAGAGGCACATAATGATAAACCATTTGTCGTAATAGGAACAAAATGAAACATAATAGTATTTTGATTTCTATACAAAAATTTAAAACACATGTCTGTACTTTTTTTTCTAAGCAAAATAAGCAAAATATTATTGAGCCTTTAAATCATTTCTGTCTCCAGTACTATTCTAGAATAATGGTTGTCCCAATTGAAAGCTTTGTGTTGTCGTGTTTGCCTTTGGATATTTGAAGAGACAGAAATGTTTCAAGAGGTTAACTATTAAGTATAAAGAATTGCTTTTAATACCTGCAATACTATCATTTTGAAACAAACATTTCACATATGATATCGCTATAAACAAATCACGTACTGTATGGTGTATCCTCTATTACAGAATAAACTTTCAAATGCAGAACAGCAAAGAATTTGCAGAGGCATGGAATTGTCCAGTTGGATCATTCATGAATCCAGGAGATAAATGCAATGTTTATTGAAAAACAAATGCAAGTGTTTAGAAACAAAGTCGTACTTTTATTGTAAAATATTAAATTATTGAACAATTGGGTTGTCCCTGTATTGAATAAAACGATTTTAGCGAGAATTATTATTAATGTATTGATGTTATTGATGAACAACATCTAATAAGCCTATTAAAGAAAAGAAGTATCAAGGTAAAGACCGTCTACAATAAAGATTTTCTCACTAAATAACCAAAAAAAACAAAAAAACAAACATAAATAATGTTCAGTTTTTGCTTTAATACATTATTGCACACTTATTTGAAGATGTCCATATCTTAACGACTGTTTATTTATCTACAATGCTCTACAAGATTGTCTGTATCAACTTCAATGGCATATATAATCTTAACAGCCAAAGTTTTTACCTTTAAGTTAGCAGTGTATAATAAACATAAATCAAGCTTCTGAAATTGACAACACACCAACAAATATAAGAATATTAAGCATTTATCATGTTTTAGATGGAATCATTCAGCGCCCACGTGTACCTTAAACAATGGAATTTGCAATTATGAACTTAAATTACTTATTTAAAATTGATTGAATAAAGTCTTACACTGTTGCATTTCAGAAAGTATTATTTTGAAGGTCTTTCTGTGTAATTATTTCCAATGATAAAATATGGCCATATTTGTTTTGCATTGATGGAAGAACAGAAATTGATCAGTGTATTTCAGTATTGATTAACTTTTCTATAATGGACACGTTTTCAAATCAAATGTAAGTTCGCCACGACATAATGAACATAAAAAGGCTAATATTCCAAGAGTTCGGTCTTTATGAGAAAATTCAGCTATTATTAGATTGGAGAATTTTGATTGGCTCTCCAGAATATGAGTTTTTTTCAATAATTTGAATTGATGTAAGATAGGTTTACGAGACTTTTTGAAACAAGAATCTCATATCATATGCAATCCATATCAGTTTGTTTCTTCATTAAGTACTTAACCTTTTTAGAAAATGTGCAGTTAATTAATATAATTGTCAATAATTAAGCGTTTTCATAATGGCCTTGTTATTGGAATTAAGGCTATTATATAAGTTTGGCCTTTGGTCCCAGGCTAATATAACTGTCTTCAGCTCAATTACAAGGCCATTATGAAAACACTCAATGATAAACATTATAATATAATTGTGACATGGTACCTACTGCCCTGACTGTCTGCTTATCTGGCGATTTGAGAGTATACGTATATTAAGCATTATATTAGATTTAGGGTCATGCATTGAAATCGAAAATAATATCTCTTTATTTCAGCTTTAAACACAATTTAATCCAATGAGAGGCGATTAAGTGATTAAGATCCTACATATTTACCTTATTAAAAGACATATTTTAGTGCTTATTTGTCCTAACATTTCGAGTTTTGCAAAAGGTATATGTGTACACTCCTGGAAAAGGAATTGCATTCTTACAAAGGACATATATTTTAATAATAAATTATTATTTTGAAAGGAGGCCAAAGGCGATCGACATAAATCAAGTCAAAGTAAATATGAATATGTATTGGAAATTGACAGATATATTTACTTTTTATTGTGCACTCAGTCTTTTTGGTGTCCTGCTAGATTCCTTTTGTGTAAGATATACATTCAATGAATGACGCCTTTCCTTGTTTTTCTTGCTTTTCTGCATGTGTGTATAACGAAATGGACAAAATAAACATTGATTCGGACATTTATTTGAGTAAGATGTAAAATAACTTTCTGATTCCTGTTTTGTAATTGCATTACTATATATTTGTAATTGTAAAGTACAATCTTTAACAAGAGCCATGTCAACATGGCCATCCCCCGCCGAATGTGTTTGCTCATTGGAAGAATGTATATGTAGTACAGCAGAATAATTCCATTTTAAGAGGTCTTTTGGTAATGAAAACTGATGGCTATAGTGATTACAGATTTGAAACATATGTGAATACTGATGGCTGAAAATAACAAAGAGCAATAACTGAAAAATAATGCAGGGTAGGATATCATTCTTGTGTGCTGCATCCCTCCTCAGTAAAATCTACCAACCTATGAAGTTTCAAGTTGATAGAGAAAAAAATTGAATTGAAAAATTAAGTATGAAAAATAACAAAGGGCAATAACTCAAACATTATAAAAGGTAGAGTTATTATAATTGTGCACTGCACACCTCCTGAGTTAGATCTATGCACCTATGAAGTTTCAAAATGATATCTCAAAGGCCTTTTGAGTTATGCTCTGGACAAAAATTAATTTTGAAAAATAAAAAAGGGCAATAACTAAACAATTATGCAGGGTAGAGTTATCATTCTTGTGCAATGAACTCTTCCTCAATGAGATCCATCCACCTATGAAGTTTCAAGTTGATACCTCAAATACTGTTTGAGATAAGCTCCGGACAAAATAGTATGAAAAAGAACAAAGGGCAATAACTCAAAAATTGTACAGGGAAGAGTTATCATTCTTGTGCACAGCATTCCTCCTCAAAAATTTCTATCCACCTATGACATTTCATGTTGACATCTCAAACACTTTTGAGTTATGCTCCACTCGGGTGAAAAATTAGGTATGAAAAATAACAAAGGGCAATAACTCTAAAATTATGAAAGGTAGGGTTATCATTCTTGTGCACGGCACACCTCCTCATTGAGATCTATGCACCTATAAAGTTTCATTTTGATATCTCAAAGGCTTTTTGAGTTATGCTCTGGACAAAAATTAATTTTGAAAAATAACAAAGGGCAATAACTCAAAAAATATGCAGGGTAGAGTTATCATTCTTGTGCAATGCACTCCTCCTCAATGAGATCCATCTACCTATTAAGTTTCAAGTTGATACCTTAAATACTTTTTGAGATAAGCTCTGGACAAAATAGCATGAAAAAGAACAAAGGGCAATGACTCAAAAATTGTATAGGGAAAGGTTATCATTCTTGTGCACAACATTCCTCCTTAATAAGATCTATCCACCTATGGCATTTCATGTTAATATGTCAAACACTTTTTGAGTTATGCTCCACTCAGGTAAAAAATTAAGTATGAAAAATAACAAAGGGCAATAACTCAAAAATTATGAAAGCTAGAGTTATCATTCCTGTGCACTGCACACCTCCTCAATGAGGTCTATGCACCTACGAAGTTTCATGTTGATATCTCATAAGCCTTTGGAGTTATGCTCTGGACAAAAATCAATTTTGAAAAAAAACAAAGGGCAATAACTCAAAAATTATGCAGGGTAGAGTTATCATTTCTGTGCACTGCACTCCTCCTCAATGAGGTCTATCCACCTATGAAGTTTCAAGTTGATTACTCAAATACTTTTAGAGATATGCTCCGGACAAAAATGTCGGACGGAAGGACGGACGGAAGGTCGGACGGACGGACGGACGGAGACTATTTCTATATCCCCCGCCGCCTTTTCGGCGGGGGATAATTAAAAACATGGGCTTAAAAATGAAATTTAGTGGCTGTATCGATACAGAATGTAATTTAATTTAGTTTTTTTTCTATATCAAATATGACCAAATGAATCGGGATCTAATGGAAATGTTGAATATCGCAAGTGTAGATTGACGACATTTTTGTAACACTAAATCTAATGATATAAGTTATCATTATAGATGAGCATACAATTTAAATAAGTTTTATCAAATACATATTTATTATAATAATTATGCTTTCTCTTTTACCAAAACATTGCGTTAAAGTATAGTGGTATAAGCACACTGTCGAATCTGACCTTTTGAACTTTTGACTTTTATTAACTATCAAAATGAGGGCGATTAATTGTTTCTCTGTGTCGCCGTTCTCGTGCAAATTGTCAGAAATGTTTATTAATAGAAAATATCACGCATACAAATTGACAATAATAGTACAATGATATATTTTCTTTTTTAATACATAGCATTCACCATTGATATATTATTCTGGAAATGGATTAACATCATATCGTTTATTCTAGCATTAAACGGAAACTAATGAGGTTTTTAGACAAGATGGAACTGGAAATATTATTCCGAGATTTTTGTGCCATCTGCTGAAAGTCTATAGGAATAATTTGTAAATAAATTTCGACCCCTTAATAAATGAGTTATTATATTAGGAAAGACCGTGCTTTTTTTAAAAATAAAACACAAAGTAATGCCTGTATTATAAATATTTATTTTGATATACTGAAATATGATGAACTGAAATTTAGGAAAATTCAATTCAAGAACATTTCATTCATATTAGGAATATTAAATGATTTATTTACTATCAGCAATGTAGTCTTGCTTCCGCCGACGAGACATCATAACGAAAAGAAGCGGTACTTGTTTTATTGTCTCTCCTTTGTGTAGAAAGGCATGGATGCTCCATAATTGCGTAAACGGCTTCCCGACGACTCTTAACGTACCATCAAGATACCACTTGCGTGCTCTTTAAAGAAAAAGCAGCTAATCGTTTGTTGAAAACAAAAAACTCTTGACCAAGGTAGACACAGTTGAACTGTAGAAAAATTTAACAGTTATATAAAATGTAGCGAACAATATTTATTAACTTATTTTCTTAACGTTCATTATTATCATTCCATTGATATTTCACTATTGAAATGACATATTTGAAAAATTGACTGCAATGCATATGTAAAGAGTCTTGATGAAAAAAGATGCTTAGAAAAAAACTTGCCTCAAAGTCTTTTAAACAGGGTGTGGGTTCTGCTGGCCGGATCTTCTCGATTTCTTCTTTATTTCTACTTTAATTAAAACTCTCTTTTGGATTATTATTTAATTTATAAGATATGTTCTCCAGTATGATTTTGACATACACTCTATATCGTTCCTTGCAAAACAACTTTGAATAAGGGAAGTTTTACATGAGACATTAAGATTATGTAAACTTTACATGTACATGAAAAATTTGTCATTTGTTACACACCTTAACACAATATGAATGAGTCTATGACATCTAGACCCCTTGACACCTCGACCCCTTGACACCTCGACCCCTTAGACATCTCGACCCCTGACACTTAGACCCCT